AGTGTGGCCTAGGTGTCCTTTTCAACCTCAGTGGCGAGTATGAGAAGGCCGTGGATTGCTTCAGTGCTGCACTCAGCGTGCGCCCCAATGTAAGAAAGGGCAGACTGTGGTTTAAGGGTGAAGGCTTGGGTGGAGGTGCTGTGTGTATGAGAGGTACATATTTGGAGCGGAGGAATAAGACAGACATGTGGGGAAGGAAAGCTTGGAGCTTAAAGACATCCAGTTCATCTCAGCCCCCTCTCTCTGCCCATTCCTCCAGGACCATCTTCTATGGAACAAGCTCGGTGCCACCCTGGCCAATGGGAATCGGAGTGAAGAAGCTGTGGCCGCGTATCGTCGGGCGCTGGAGCTGCAGCCGGGATACATCCGCTCTCGATACAACTTGGGCATCAGTTGCATCAACTTAGGCGCCCACCGGTGAGCACAGGATGGGCAGATCTGCTGTGACCCAGCAATTTGCATGTGTTTGTAGGAGAGAGGCTGTGATAGGTTACTAGGGCAGTGCCACACTGCCTGCAGCCTCCTCTTGGCATAGGAGAGCAGAGCGAGTGTGTGTACTCTGCCCTGAAATCAAAGTGTCACAGTTACAGTTGGAGTAGAGGCCATCTGGACTTCAGACTCTTTCCCTCTTTAGAGGGGAAAGGGGAACCTCTGGTTCTGAAATGGGGCAGGATCTGCTGAAGAGGAGGAAACTGTTTTGGAGGGGAAATACTTTAGAAGCAAAGGGGGAGGGAGTATGAGAAGTACTGTCTTTTCCACTAAGCATGTGTATGTTCTCATGTTGACAGTGAGGCTGTGGAGCACTTCTTAGAGGCTTTGCACATGCAGCAGAAGAGCCGAGGTCCACGGGGGCAGCAAGGAGCTATGTCTGACAACATCTGGAGCACCCTCCGCATGGCCCTCTCCATGCTGGGGCAGAGTGACCTGTATGGGGCAGCTGATGCCCGGGATCTTCCCACACTGCTTCAGGCATTTGGCCTCCAGCAGTGACTCTGGGATGGGCTCCCCTGTGAGTGCAGGGTTGACCCAGCCCAGCAATGAGTGACCTTTCTTAGAGAGAAAATGTTCACAAGGGTTCACAGACATCTTTGCCCTGGTAGGGCAGGTCATTGGCAACTGCTTTTTTTTCAAGCCCCCCTTTTGAAGTGTGCAACTTTTGCAACTTGTCTGTTGTGGCTTGAGCATCTCTGAGTGGTTCACGTTATCACCTCCTTGACTGACTGACACTCTGCTGGTACGCAGATCACCAACGTGGGGAAGATAGCAACATCCAGCCCTCTTACCAGACTGCATCTGCAGTAATGCCCAGCTTGGCTGTGACACCTTGTGATAGCCATTCGGCAGAGACTGCCTGCAAGGGTGTATTTTGAGTGCAGGTTGCTTGGGTGGGGTGGGATTGCCGTTTGGTGAAAGGGTGAAAAGTTCTGACTTTTGAGCATGCTTCCCCACGTATGTGCTTGCACATATGTGTATGTGGGTTGCTAGGGAAAAATGGGGTAATAGTCCCCTTTTCTGGCCACTGGTAACTTCATGGTACAGACAGATGCTAGTTTCTCAGTGTCTCTTCATAAACCTTTTAAGACAAGAGTATTGTACTTATGCTAGGGACATAGGGTGGAGGCCCTTACCCTGTTAGGGTAAGAGGAGATCCCAGAGTTCAGGCTTGAGAGATTGTGATAGGAATAAAAGTCTAAAATATAACCTCTCCTCCCAGAATATGGTGGGGAAAGGGGTCAAGTCTTAATTTTCTCTTGCGCACCTGTCATTGTTTTCCTTTGTGCAGAAGTTTCCCATCTTGTGTGTAACTGAATCTTGTTAATTATAAATATCTGTATATGATTCTATTGGGGAAAATGTTTTTTAATTGTAAAGTATTTTGTATAATAAAGGTATATGCCCACCGGTTTTCAAAAGATAGATTAGAATCTCTCTCAGTTTCTGTCTCCCTTTTTGACCCAGGTTTTGTTTTATGGATAGCTTATCCAAATGAAGCTTAAAGGACCTCATTTTGCTGTAGCCCCAGGCTTCAGTTCAGTGAGCCAGCAGAAGAGCTTCCCCATGCCAAAAGCTCTCTTTTTCCTTGCTTAGTTTTTGGAGGTCAGTGACGCACTTTTTTTTCATCTTCTGGCCATCTGCAGTGAAGGAGGTTGTGTTATATTTTGTCACCTCTTTAAGGAACCTGACTGCTGCAGTAGTCAAGGCTGGGGGCTTAACGCAAGGGAGCACTGACCCTTTCTATTCCTCCAGGCACCTGTTTCTTCGTATCTCTATCTCACAGGCTTGGTTTTCTCTTGCTACTATAACAATCAGGAGCAGTAAGTCTGTGCAGGGAATAGGTCTTGCTGTATGTTTTCTGAGTTTCAGTGTCCCCAGTGTCTCCCATCCAACCCTGTGTTCACCAAGACCTACGTGCACCGTTCTGAGATTGCTGTAATGCAGGTAAAACAACTCACTGCTTGTGCAGCCTAAAAGGAAAGGAAACACTGCTTTTGCGTCCTGCTCACTCCCACTGCTCCTGGTCAGAGATGTGTCTTCTGGTTTTTGCTGATCTCAGTCCTTCTGTCGTATTCTTCTCTGCTAAGTGAAAGAAAACATTAGTATCTATGCTGTGCCTCACTTGCTGTCCAGGTGTTTTCCCTTCCTCTTTGCTGTCTCTTACCACTGATTTCCTTTGCGTCTTTACTCCAATACATTCCTCTCTGTTCACACTCATAACTGCTTGACCTTTCCTTTTTCTCCTCCTCAGGTTTCATTAATGCTGCTCCTCTCCTTGGTTTCCTAGTTGTCTCAATTTCTCTTGCCATTTGGCTTGACTTCTTGACTTGGTGCTTGGTATCCTTCCATATCACACAATCTCCCCAGTCCCTGCAGCTAGTGTGGGCTGTCACCATTTGTTCTCTTTCCCTGTAAATCATTCTCACTTTCTTCCCCCTCCCACCTTAAATCATCTCACAGCATCTGAGCTACCTTTGCTGAGGATGAATCTTCACCTAGACACTAGACCCTACACCTAGACACTAGACCCTATTTAGTCTCCCAGGACTGAGTGAAGGTTGAGCTGCCTTTTTTTCAAACAGGTTTTGTCTAACCTTGTCCTTTTAAGAGCTATCTTTGGAAATGGAGTGTTGATGCAAGGAACACCAGCTGACTGATTGGATCTGCATTCTGGTTCCAGTTCACACCTTTTGCCTATCCTCTTACAACCATGTCTCTGGTCTCCAAACCCAGCTTGCACTGGGATTCTGTACGTATCTTGATCCTGGTTTGCATTTCCAACCACATCCATGTCTTCTGTTGGCAAGCCCAGTTGTACAGTGGGGGTGTGTAGCAGGTACTAAGCATTTTAGATTCACCTAAAGGTAAGGCTCTGAGGGATGTTTGGATGCCCCTAATCCAACCCCTTGCTCACAACAGGCCTGACCCTAGTTGAGGGCCTTATAAATGATCGTACTCTCCAATTTTTGTGCTTTCAGTGTTTTCTCCTCTTGTACTTTTCCCAGTGCCCAGAGCAGTGGCAGGGTTTATCACCACTGAAAACTTGTGAGGGATCCCAGCATGCCCTTTACCAAATCATTGGAGATTGCAGGGAACAAGCTAATCTTTCATAGGGCCCTGAGCATGTGGTCAAATGGGATAGTTCAGTACATGTTCTTCCACCTGTGCTTCTTGATATGTTTCTGCTGTTTTTCTTCCTTCAGTGTTTTAGTTACTTGCTGCTTAAGACCCCAAAAGGTCATAGAATCTCTTGGTGCTGACCTTAACGTCCAGACAGAAAATGAAAATGTGCTTCAGAGGTCCACTGAAATACCTGATGACGGATGGGTTGGGTTTTTTTTGAAACTTTTCTGTTTCCCTGTGCATTTATTAAGCAGAAGTGACACCTAGTGTTGAGTCGGGGACAGGTCCGTGTCCGTCACACTCGTGCTTGGACCAAGGACACTAAAGGGTTTATGAGCACAACCTGCTAATAAAACATGAAAGGAACAAAATGCCGGATGCATTTTCTGAACGTGCAGGTTTTGTGAGCTGGAGAGGCTTTCTCAGACAAATGTACTGTGAAGCCCCTGCTTCTCCCCAGTACTAAGCATCTAATTAGTCTGGGTCTTTGTGTTTGTGGAGCCCAGTCTAGCAACTATGCCATGGATACCCATACATTCATTTATTATACAACCCAGAAAGCAACCCAGTTGGGTTTCTGACATTTTGAACTAAAAGTTATTCACAGATGATCTGTTACCTTGTTTGCTTGTTTGTTGCCCCTCAAGGGTTAGGTAGTAAATGCATCTTAGTCTGACTTTGTGTGTGGGCTGTTCACAGCTTGGGATTCTGTGGATTCTGTGGTCCAGTTGCATGTTCTTAGGTTGCATTTTTGGGGACTGTTTCATTTGAGAGACAGAGGTCTGAGAGCCAAAAGTGAGACTGACTTCATCTTTGTGGTGAAAAATTACTTTATCAGCCCCAACAACTGCAAAGAATGTAAAAATAAAAAAACTACCCCCTCCAACCACAAAACCTCCTCCAAAACAAAGGAACCAGTGTCCTGTTCCCTTGAGTTCAAAACTACCAGACAAAAAAACCCCAAACAAACAAACAAACAAACAAAACACGCACACACACAAACGAACAAACAAAAAAATCCCAAAAAACAACTATCAGAAACTGGGGAGGTGCAGTTTATGTGTGATTTTATTATTTTTTTTAATCCTCTTGTTTTAGAGTAAGGAATAAAAGAGATGAGTAATTCTTGAGATACAAACTAAGGTATCCACTGTGGTAGAGCAGGATAGGAACACAGGAGGTTCTGGTGGGTTGAAGGAGTTTGCTGTTAATTTGATCTTTTCACCGTTTTACCTTTTTGAGCACTGTGAAGTGGGTGCATACGAGAAAACTACTACTTTAAGTGAAATTGTTTAATCACCCTGCAATCTAGCAGTGAATAGTCTCTAAACAAGAAAAGAGAAAAACAGTTTTATGAAAGAGGTAAAAATACTTTAGTCTTTAGTCTTTGCTTGTTGAAGTGGTTTTTGCATATTTGCTGATTTTCAATGAATCTTCATGTTCATCATTTATCTCACTCCTTGTATTGCTTTTTTCTGAGGGCAATAGAGGAAGAGGGTTTTAACCCTTTCCTCTTGGAGTTTTCTTCTCTTTTGCTTTTGAAACAAGCTTTCTTTGCCAGATTTTGAGACACTGCTGTTTCTACAGGAAGGAGATAAGGGGAAGTTTGGGAAACCTGATCTAGTGGAAGGTGTCCCTGCCCATGGCAGGGGGGTTGCAATTAGATGATCCTTAAGGTCCGTCCCAACCCAAACGATTCTGCGATTCAAAGACAAAAAGCAAACAAACCCAACCCACAAAGAAAACTCCATAAATATTTCTGGTGTCAAACCCCTAACCCCACCCTATGGTATTCTCCTTTTTTTTAGTGGCTTACTTCCTTGTGCATAAAGCACCACATAAGTGAGATTAGCAACATTTAAATCCATTTAGTTTTCAATCCTAATAATACTAGGAAAGATGGTCATTAGAACCAAGAACTCATTTGGTTTTTGTGAACCTGGGAGTATTTGTATAGAGATCCTTTGCCATCTTTTTGTATCAATATATCCCATCACATACCACCTTTTGGTTTTCCTTGAAACCATGAAAAGCCCCACTGCCAGCTTTGGTGCTCTGCAGAGAGTATGTCGGTGATTTAGGAGCCTACTGTTGCCTGCGTCACTCTGTGACATAGTTGAGATACGCTCAGTATTTATGATGCCTTCGTGGCTCACACATTTGGCCAAAGGGCTTTTCTGAGTCTGCAGGTGCTGAGAAAGATAGGAATGTTTAGCTCATGATTAATTATGTCATATTAGATATATACTTTTATTTTAGGAATACAACTAAATAATTTAATGAGTAAAACATACTAGCAGGCTCAGATGAATGACTGTTGTTCACTGGCAACATAGATCCATCCTGTTCTATGCTGGTTTAGTCCTTGTTTCAAGCATTCCTCACACTGGTGTTCTCATTTTTCCTCTCTTCATTTGCCAAAGAGCGAACACAATGGTTGAGGAGTGGAATCTTTCCCTTTCCAGCAGCACTGAACTGTAGGTCGAGGTCACTGCAACACGTACAGCCATGCTCTCAAAGTGTGATTGTGTGATTTTCCTGTATGGAGAAGTGATTTCACATATCGCTGCTGCTACAAAGTGAGGGCCTGCTTCTCTCCAAATCCCAAAATGAAAATTTCAATTGCTCTACTTCCAGCCTCTGGAGAACAGCAAAAGAACGAATCATGTGGAAAAACCCCAAAACTGCAACTACGTATTTTTATGCTGGCTTAGTTCTGTGATCTGGTATACCATGGGCTCAGCCAAGCACTGGTGAAAGACACGCAGCATGAGCATTTGGCTGGAGCTAGTGTACAGGCTGCTTGTTTTGGCAGGGATAAACTGTCTCCCTTTCCAGCTCCCCATCTTTTCTAGTAACTTCGTACCTGACAGAGCAGGGATGCCTGAAGCATCCCACAGCGAACTAATGAAGATCACATTGCTTCCTCCTGCTTTTTGGCATGCTGGCCGATGAACCCACCTGAAAGTACATTACAGAGTGAACCTGCCTTGTGAAAATAAGAAAAAATATTGCCACTGCAGCTCTGCTACAGCCTCCTTGCCCTGCTTTACCAGCTCTGCATCTCTGTGGCTGCTCAAAAGGCTATGTAGGTGAGAAGGGGGAAGAGAATTTTTAAAAACCTTGCTTAAATACCACCTCTGTCACCTGAATATCTCTCACTGAAAGTCTCTGGAAAATTAAGGTTGTTCATTATAGGTGCTTCCCACATAAGCAAAATGTAAACTGCAACCAGCACAAAAGATCTACAGCCTGTGTGTCACAAAGTACTTCAATATATTTTTTTATTACTGCAATTCATATGGCTTCTGAAGGATAAGGACAAACAAGAACCAAAGTTCTAAGGTTTTATCAAGATGGTGGTGCTTCAACAGACCTTTGACCCAGAGCAATGAGATAGTTGGCTGTAGGATGATCAAAATTAAAAATGAAATAGTTAATGATTTTTATTCCCTGAGTGTAATATTGGCCACTGCCCAGTTCTGTTGACTGGGGTGTTTCACAAGACTTCTGTGCAAGCTATAAATGCAGGCAGGTGAGACGCCTTCCACAAACAGCAGCTCCGGACTGCAGGGATTGCCCTCAGCTCTCCCCATCTCTGAAGCTGACATCAAGGTGAGAGGCACACTTTTTACGTGAAAACCGTAATGGTTTCTTGGGCAGGTGCTGTGAAATGCAGTTGAAGAGAGAGGGTTTTAGTGTTGAGATGAGAGCCCCAAGCACATGTGTGAGGGTCTGCTGTCTGTATTCTGTGGACACTTATCCCACCTTTCAGGTGATGAGAAGATGGCTGCGAGACAAACATACCTTTCAAAGGGATAGTGTGGAGAGGGCCATTGATACATAATTCTGAAGGGTGAAATTAAATTATTTTACAAACTTATCTTGGTCATGGGATCTTTATGCTGTATCAGCAAAATTAACTGGCTTGCTAAAATTACTTTTTCTATAGGTAGAAGGTAATGGTGCTTAATCAATTAGTAAGTTAAAGTTCAGGTTCCCCCGGCTTCCATAAATTCTATTGCAACAGTGAAAAAATGCTTAAGTGTTTTTAATCACACTGTGAGATTTTTTAAAAAGGTTTAAGGGATTGGGGGGGTTATTACTTATTATGATCCACATGTCTTGCAGTATTAATCTGTTTTTAACCTTACTGGGCATACTTGTTCTTCTCCCATCCATTCTCAGAATCAGCTAGAGGAACTGCTTTTTTGCCTCAGATGTATTTGCTCTGAAATCTAAATCTTTGCTCCAATGACTGTTAGATGATATAAAGAGGGAGTTGTTGCCATAACTGGCTGCTCATGACCGTTCCTGAAGCTGTTACTAATAAATATTATAGTTCTTTAACTGAATCCAGATGACTGTGTGGAGTTAGATACATGTATTCCTAACAGTGTTAGAAAGAGACATTTACAATTTGAACTTTAGTCTGATTCAAAGAGGTGTTGCTTAGAACTTGATTGCTTCTCAGTGTATGTCAAGAACAGGAATCTCTTGATTTCAGTAAAATTTCATATAAAAAGAGAAATAAGGTATTTCAGTGAGCCCAAAGTTCACTTCTGCCCTTAAAAAATAGCCCTTTTTTCCTGTTTGTAGTACAAAAGGCACTTTCCTTTAGAAATTAATTGTGTGTCTCACTGCTTTTATATTATAATCTATATGGATCATGAAACCTAGTCCAAACAATGAGGGCCAGTTTCTAAAATAATTCTCAATTGCAGCATCAAATATCAACGTAAAGATTTATCACCAATTATATATTCTATTCCATTATTATTTAGCATATACCAATAAAATGTTAAACTAAATGCTCAGATGTCCCTTATACAAAATCCAACTAAATAAAAATGGATGGTTCTGGTGTACATACCTCATTTTACTTTTTTCCTCCAAAATCAAATTTCTGTGTCATGTCCTCACTCTTTCACAGCTGTTGTTATGTTTATTCTCTGCTAAAAATGTTTTACTTTTCTTTTTTTTTACCTTTTGTCCACTATGCATTCCAGCATTTCGTGTCTAGTGTGTAAAGGCTTCTCACAAGAATTTCTTGTTTTCTCTTTTCATTTTCTGCAGGTTATCATCCAACTTCTACAGCAGAATATCTGAACTCTAGAAGTCCTACTGAGATGGGAAAAATCATCATTTATGAGCATGCCAACTTCCAGGGTTTGTCCAAAGAATTGACCACTGACATTGCCAATCTAAAAGACATAGATTGGAATGATTGTATCTCCTCAGTGAGAGTTATCGGCCAGCCTTGGGTGGCTTATCAGCATGCAAACTATGCAGGCAATTTAGTGGTATTTGAGGAGGGAGAGCATGACTTTGTTGGTAAAAAGATGAATGATAAGATCAGTTCTCTGCGGGTGATCACTGAACGTCTGCACGATCCTCAGATCACCCTCTATGAACATGCTGATTACCAAGGGAGGAGCAGAGTAGTAAGAGAAGCCACCAATCTGGCTAGGGGACATGACAATGACACCACGTCTTCTCATAAAGTCCAGAGAGGTGTCTGGCTGTTGTGTGAGAACAGTGATGGAAGTGGATTTCAATACATTGCACGAGAACATGAACACCTTCCAAATTACAAGGCAATCAACTTCAATGACAAGCTTTCATTCCTGCGTCCCCTTCGCCCGGGTCATCACTGTTAGACTGCAAATCCTGCAAGACTAAGGGAAGATGCAACCCCAGCAAGAAATTGGAGACCTAGATCTCCACCTTTGCTTGTGTTGCCTTTTCCCCCTGTGTCACAGGAACAGCAAAGATGCAAGAGCTCCCTGCTGTGCTTCCCTGCAGATCTGTACTTCTTAATCCTGCCTTGCACTCTTCTCCCACCCCATGAATGCAGGAATTTTCATACCTGATCATATAGAAGAGACTCCAAGATAAGAGACATGTCAGGGACATGTCAGCTATCACACTCACAGCTGGCAGTGCCCTGTACTATGGAATGTAGAAGCATTGCATGTTGCCTCTGCTGCCAGGTACATTAAAAAATGTGAATATATAACCAGCATCACTTCATTTGTAATTTGTTTTACAATGCCCTTGCAATACCACGACCTCTGCCATTGCCTATAATCCATTTTGTGCTGATGCCATTAAAAATTCTTTTGCAAGCAACAGTGGGTCTGTTTTATGCATTATTGTGGATAAATATTGCTGTTTCATGATGAGATGTCTCTGTGTGTCCTGAAAATGGTCATTTGTAAGCATTTTTCATGGATCTCTCCTGAAAGATTTTATCTCTTTCCAGTTTATTTAATCTCAAGGCTTTTATCACACTGATGATACAGTCTTCTCTTGCCCTAAATTATAGGTGGCTTTTGCTAAACTTGTATCCAAATCTTTGAATATCCCACCACCCATTGCTCTCAGTGTAGTGCTTAACAGACCATTGCATCGCTCAGTTTCTCCAGAGGCTGGTGCATGACAGGGGATGTGGCACACCCACTCAATGCCACATTCTTTAGCACAGGTATCTATGAGGTTGTTTAAAGAGACCCATGGGAAGCCTGACTGGCAGTGAGGACTGAGGCAAAATAACTCACTGACTACCTCAGCCTTCTCCATACCTGTTGCTACCAGTTCTCCCTTCTCATTTATCTGGGGTGTACACTCTCCTTGGCCTTTCTCTTTGGACCTATGTACTCATAGAATCCCTTCTTATTGGTCTTCAGATCTTGCCTAGTCCCATTCTATCAGTGCCTTGCCTTTCCCAACCAAATCTCTACACATCCGAGTCATACCCTGGTACTCTCCCCAGGCCACCTGTCCCTGCTTCCACTGGTTGTTCATTTCTTTCTTATGCCTTAGTGTGAGGAGCAGGTCCTTGCTCAGCCATGCCAGATTCTAGCCTGTCTTATTTCCTCAACAGAGGGTTGGAGAGCTCTTGCACTTTACAAAAAGTGACCTTAAAAGTTGCCAGGTCTGGTCCCCACTAGAAGTGAGAAGAGTTTCCCAGGGTATCTCATTCACCAACCCCTTAAACAGCTGGAATTTCGCTCTTTCAAATCTTGGGATCCGGACTTTGCTCATTGCCAGGCCCATGTTCTTTAACATAACAACCTCACCCAGGGTGTGGTTGCTGCAGCCTAGGCTGCAAAAACCTACTGTGTGATACTCTTGCTTGGGAAAGACTGCAGCACTTGCACCTCGATCCCTTCACTGCCAAGATAAACAGCATCTGCAGGTCCCAAACGCTGCAAAACTACAGATGGCATTAAGAAGAGTAAAAAGACTGCTTCAAAATCAACAGTCAGGAAGAACTTCCACAGAGAGGATTATTACTAATCCACAGTTTAGTGCAAATGGACATTTGAACAGAATGCTGCGTAAGGAAGGCTTGTAACCAGTGATATTCCAAAAGGAGGTGTCTAGAGGAGAAATCTCGAACACCATGGGTGTAACAAAGAGGTAATACATAAACAGCCTCAGCTTTTGTCGTCTTGATTAGAAACGTTCACAGAACACATTCAGGAGTGTTTGGGTAATTATGGAATACAAAATTTGGGTTTAAGGTCAGATCTTGTATGCCCAGAAACAGGTGGTGTTACACATTAACCACTTCAGTTATTTTGTAGCAATGCCTTTGTTTCCCTGTTTCACAGCTCTGACACAGCTCGTTTGTATCAGCTTTGCAAATGAGCCACTTGGGCTCTTCACCTGTAGTGACAACTCCATTGCCCAGGCAGCCCACCATCAGGGCAGAGGTGCAGAGGGAAACAGGGCAACAGGATGTTCTGCTGCATCGCCCTCATCTATGCTTCTTTAGCTGAATGATTTAACGTCCACTTGGGGAAACGGAATCTTTTTTTCAGATACAGAATTCTCGCACCTGCTGTTTGCAAGCTTGCAAGCTTTCGGTGTGGCTTTCTGCCCTGCTCATTTCATCTGGTGCTGGTATTCCCGCAGTATGAATTTACAGCATCTTTTAATGTATCCAGCACTGAAAACCCATTGTGGGAAGCAGACCTGCAGCAGTTTCCTTTTTATCATATGCACCTTCAAACGCATCTTCTCTTTACCCAGAAACAGTTGATGTACATTCAATTCAATTGCTGATGCTTTCTTTAATTTCTTCTTGTTTTTCTCTGTCAGAATATTCCTCCTGCTTATGCTGCTGTGTTTTCTTGGCAGTGCCTTATTGACTTTGGATTAATCAATCAGAGCAATACTATGTCAAAGCTTAAATGAGATTCTCCATCCTTCTAAATCAAATCTCAAAAAATGCAAAGCTTGTTGACAAAAGCAGTAACAAGAGACCTTCCTTCAGAGATCCTTAGAGACCATCAGGAAAATAATTGTGACATAGTGAAATGTGCGCAGCTGCAGCAGGTTATTCCTATAAGGAATTCCCTCCTTGGAGCAAACATGTTTTTGTCATTTGTCTGGTCCCAAAGCCCTATCCACTGAACAGTCCACCCATCAAATCCATGTCTCCAATTTAGAGAGGAGGATAACATGGGGGGCCATGTCAAAGGCCTTGCAGAAGTCCAGGTAGATGACCTGAAGCCCTTCCCTTGGTCAGTCCATTGTAGAAGGCCACTAGGTTGGTCAGACAGGACTTTCCTTTGATGTAGCCATGCTGGCTGTCTCAAATTACCTCTCAGTCCTCCATGTGCCTTCCTTTCCCAAACAGCAGCCCCAGACTGTAGCTCTCCCCATCCCTGAAGCTGATATCAAGGTGAGAGGCACATTTTTGCATGAAAACTGTAATGGTTTCTTGGGCAGGTGTTGTGAAATGCAGTTAAAGAGAGAGGGGGTTTAGTGTTGGGGTGAGTTGCAGCAAGTATGTGAGGATCTGCTGTCTGTATCTGCAGAGACTTATCCCATCTTTCAGGTGATGAGAAGATGGTTGCAGGACAAACATACCTTACCAAGGGAGAGGGTGGAGAGAGCCATTGCTATGTACTTCTGAGGGATGAAAGAGAAAATATTTTCCATATCTATTTTAGGCATACACCTAAACCAACACACACAACAAAATAAAACTGGACAGTTGTGGGTACTGAATTAATTTTACTTTTTTCCTCCAAATTCAAATTTCTATGTCATGCTCTCACTTCTTTCCAGCTACTGCTATGTTTATCCTCTGCTAAAAATGTTCTACTTTTCCTTTTACCCCATATGCTCTCCATCATTTTGTGCGTTTTTCCTAAAGGCTTCTTACAAGCACTGCATGTTTTCTCTGTTCCTTTCAGTCAGGCTGTCATCCAGCTCCTACAGCAAGAAATCCAAACTCCACATGTCCCGCTGAGATGGGAAAAATCATTCTTTACGAGCATGCCCACTTCCAGGGTTTGTCCAAGGAAATCATCAGTAACATTTCCAATCTAGGACCTGTAGGCTGGAATGATGCTGTCTCCTCAGTGCAAGTAGTTGGCCAGCCTTGGTAGTTTAGGAGCACATAAATTATACAGGCCAGTTACGGGTACTTGAAGAGGGAGAACATAGCTTTTTTGGTAGAAGGATGAATGATAGAATCAGTTCACTGCAGATGATCACTGAAGATCTGCACAGTCCCCAGATCACTCTCTACGAACATGCCCAGTACCAAGGGAAGACCAGGACAATACGAGAAACAACCAATCTGGCTACCAGACTCAACAATGACATTGTATCTTCTCACAAAGTCCAGCAAGGTGCCTGGCTGTTGTGAGAACACAGTGATGAAAGTGGATTTCAATATGTTTCATGGGAACATGAACACCTTCCATATTACACGGCAATCAACTTCAATGACAAGCCTTCATTCCTTCATCCCCTTCACCCGGGTCATCACTGTTAGACTGCAAATCCTGCAAGACCGAGGGAAGATGCAGCCCCAGCAAGAAATTGGAGACCTAGATCTCCGCCTCTGCTTGTGTCATTTTTTCTCCCCGTGTCACAGGAACAGCAAAGATGCAAGAGCTTCCTGCTGTGCTTCCCTGCAGATCTGTACTTCTTAATCCTGCCTTGCACTCTTCTCCCACCCCATGAATGCAGGAATTATTGTTCTTGATCATATGAAAGAGACACCATGCTAAGAGACATCAGGGTGTATAACATATTTCAGCTGTCGCTAGCATTCCAGAGTCCTGTACTATGGGATGTAGAAGCATATTGCCCCTGCTGCCAGGTGCATAAAAAAATGGGAGCATATAACCAGCATCACTTCACTTTGATTTGTTTTACAATGACCTTGTGGTACTGTGGCTTCTGCCATTGTCTGTAATCCATTTTGTGTTCATGCCATTAAAGAATCTTTTGCAAGCAACAGTGGGTCTGTTTTATGTACTGTTTTGTATAGACCAGTATTGTCCTTCCATAATGAGATGTGCCTTTGTTTCCAGGGAAGGGTTCATGCAGTCACTTGCAAACATTTTTCCTGGACCTCTTCTGAAAGATTTTATCTCCTTCCCATTACACTGGTCAGTAGAAGTGGGTTCAGGCTTGACTCAATCAAACTAAAAGTCTTGGTGAGCTTCTTGACTACTGCTGTGATCCTGGACACACTCTTACCCACAGACTGTACTTGACTATCACACATTTGATTGTATCTCATACAATCACACTGATGGATCATACTGACAATATAGTCTTCTACTGTCCTAAATTTCTTAATCTAACAGAAAGTTTTGATAAATTTGAATTGACTGATTAGTGCATCCCAATGGGAAACCTTGTTCCATTTTTTAATTCTGTAGTATCTTGATAAAGGATGAGGAATGACAAGCTATTTCATGAACTGTTTTGCCATGTGCAAGTTCATCTGGAAGTGCAGAGTCACATCCTCCGCTATCACTGTCTAATGACAGCTGCACTCGTTCCCCAACCCGTATATTATGACAGCTCTCTCACTGCAGCTCTACACTGCAATGTTTATGTATCTCTGCACTGACCTCCCGTTTGCCAGAGTTTTCTTATATTTGTAGCTGGGTTGGTCAGCCAGAACCTGCACTTGGCCTTGTTGAACCTCATGAGGTTCACGTGGTACCAGTCCTGAAGCTTGTCAAGGTCCCTGGGGATGGTCCCTTCCCTCCAGCACATCAAACACACCACTCAGCTTGGTGTCACCTGCAAACTTGCTGCTGGTGCACTTGAACTCAC